CTATGTTACATCTGGAAAAATCTCGGAAAATTTCTATGCTGATAGGAACCGATGTACGTCTCTCTATTTCGATTGATTTTGTCTCAGGAGCATCTTTGTTGTTACTCGTAGATTCGAGTGAAGCCACCGAAACGGGAAATAAAGACTTGCGTTTTCATCAACATCGGAAATAAACCATCTCCTCTACTTTAATCGAGGATATCTTCTATTGTCGGGCAAAGAACCGCGGCGAGCTGTTAGCATGCAGTGAGTTCCCGCTTGAACGAAACGCGTCTATCTCCGCGACAGACGAGAGGAAGCTAATTTCCTCGTTTCTCTCCTCCCTTTACCTGTTTTTATTTACATTTATCCGTAATCTCTTTGTCTAAATGAAATTTTTGCGCGAATAATGCCAGACTCGACATGTGCGTAATGAACTCGATTACAAACTTTATTTTCGTATCTCTCGTTATTCGACTGTTTTCGAACTCTCGGCAGTAGCGGTGGCAACGACGGCGGCGGTGGCGGCGGCGACGTCGACGTCGGCGTCGTTTTAATCCGTTCTCCACAATCGCGCCCAATCATCGAATCCCTTTGGACGAATCGTACCGTCGACCGGTCTGTGCTACAAAATTAAACGACGTCCGTCGAATCGCGCTCGTACCTCGACCGGCTCACCTATATTTTATTGACGTTGCATTTGGACGGGCGGGATTGCGTAAATTCGCGGGCTGGAGGCGACCGCCGAAACCCAATTTACACGGTTCACTCTGGACGATCATCCCGGATGAGTCATCCCAAGTGCGTGTATCGCGCGAACGGGTTTTCGTTTAGGCGCGTCATCACAAATCCACTATCAAATGCAATCCGGGATGCGGCAGGTTTCGCGGAGATTAATGGCTCTCTGAAAAATACAAACGCGCAACGCCGTTGGGGAACGTACGGAACTGTTCCCGGCTCTCGAGCCCGGCTATTGTCGAACGTAATGCTGGTTCGGCCGGCAACCTAATTAGATCTCTTCATTTGAAAAGACCGTGCGCGCTCGCGTCCGGGAGTCACCCTGGAAACAATTTGCTCGATTTTAGGAAAAGCGCGAGATAACAAAATGAAAACGATTCCCGCGCTGATGAAAATTTGGCGAAACGTTTTTCCCTCTTTTACGTAAATTTATCTCGACTGGAGAGCGATGCGCAAATATTTCTTTTGTGCCCGTCGCGCCGAACTGTTAGACCGGTTAACATAACTTTTGCAAAAAATAATCCTATTCGACGAACAGCGAGAGCGCGCCACTGGGTGAGTTTATCTCTCGTTTAACATGTTTCTGATATTTCGTCGCGCTGCTTTTGAAACTAATGCAGGCTCATAGAAGAGCGCGTGTATCTCTGCAATGCGACATGTTTTCAAACACAACAGTTTAGAGCTGAAGTATCAAAACGCATTGTTGATTCAATTTGGCCAAAAATGTGAGCTATGCCCTCTCCAATATAAACAATTCGATTGTAAATCACTTCACGTGACCTACATCGGTATTTTTTTCCTTTTTTTATTTGATTTTCGTTACAACGTATGATATCGATTCTCCGTAATAAGCCATCGTGCGGAAAAATTGTTGAAAAAATACGTATATATATGTATATTAATTTCTAGATTGACGTGGAAGTTTGTGGACCTTTCAACGCTCGAGAAACTAATCCAGACGACTCGAAAAATGTTACGTTGACCTAAAATGATATTTTTATAAACACATTTTTCTCTCATACGCCAACCCCCCGCCAATTCCCCGCCCGGACTGTAAAGGCGAGCTCCCGAGTCTCGTGCGTATCCCAACCAACCTCTACTACAAATTATGACTAACCCAAGTCTCGTTCACACAATTCGCCTTCTTTCGCTTTGTGCGCGATTGATCCAAATCGACGAAAGCACGCGGATCGTGTAAATTCCCCTCCGACACACACGCCGCATGGAACAAAGGGAAATATTCACGGGGTGATCGCGTAACGCGGCCCGATCTCGTGTGGCGCTATGTGGGTACAGACGTGGAATACTGTGCGGTACAGGGATTATCGATCGTATCGAGGCCAAACCGTCCGATTACCTTGATTCTTTCAGCAATATCGGACAGAGAGCGATCGGAGAACCGAGGGTGAAGAAGGATGAGAGAGAATAGTAGAGTGGAATAGTAGAATAGAGAAAGAGAGAGAGTAGAGAGTAGAGTGAATAGAGCGAGAAAGAGAGAGCTTAACGCGGTTCGCGTGATCGCCGACATTATCGGCATAATTATTGTTCTCGCTGCTCCGCTCGTAGCGCGCCTAATCGATCCGCGTTAGCATAAGGGAGCATCGTTCTCCCGCGAGCGCGGTAAGGGCGAAGTGCAATTAGAACTTGGCTAGCCGATTAAAAATAAGAAATTACCCCAGCCTAGCTCACTAAGCCCTTTCCTCCGCGTCGTTTCGAGCGAACTGGAGGTGAACAACGAGAGAGGGCCTGCCACTACGTCGACGTGACGTGGCTGTTGTGAGCCTTGCTCCCCCTTAAAATGTTATAATCAACGGCACGAAGCAGAAGGAGCCGTGCAATGCACAATTAAAGTTAATTAAGTAGGACGGTTCGGAGCGCACGAGTCAGCCGAAACCCGCGGATTACGGGCGTACGACGGCATCGAAAGCGAACGTTGCCGTCACGCGATAAATGCTTGATAACTGCGCGGTTATTGGTCGCCACATATATGTAAATATGTATGTATAATTTTCTCTCGCTCTCTTTTTCTACTCTCTTTTCACGCGAGAAATCCTACGACTTTCCAAGCGAGCCCGTTTTTGCGCTTATACGCGATGACTTTTTACGACCGTATCTCTCTTCGCGTCCGATTTAACGCCAAGTCGGGCTCGGGGACGATTCGCAAATTCGCGTTTCACACGATTCCAGGACTAGCCGGGCGATAAAGGAAGATATCGCGAGAACTCGTGTATTATTGCTGGGATTATCGAGCGCCATCGAGGCGATCGTTTTCGTAACGAGAAGGTTCGAATTTTCGTCATGATAAATGGCATTTCAACACGTCGACCGCCGCGTCAACCATATCATGTGAAACGCTCACCCACGGGGATCCTGTCATTCGTTTGTGGATGAGGGTTCATTGCTTGTAGCTATAATTAGAGGAATAATTACTATAAACTATTCATTAAGAAAACTATTTTTTTATTAAATTCTACTGTAATGTTAGTTTGGTAATAATTTCACATACATATATCACGTATAGAAACAACAACTAATTAAAAAATACAGTAACGATAATTTTAGTTAGATCGACCATCTTTTTCTCTCAGTGTAGGAATTATTTGACTAAATATTAGGTTGTACGATACAAAATATTTGTCATTTTGCAAGTTGAAAGTCCTTATTGAAAGTTTAGAAACAGTTAAGGCTTCTGACCCCTCGCATTGTCTATCTCTTTTTAATGACGTCAGAAGCGAGAAAATGTATGTTAAAAATTCTTGCGAAATACATTGAAATAAAAATGTATATCCATAAAGTAACACTTGCAATCGATTAAACAAATTTGTAAGATATCCCGTGCACTCCCCTTTTGTTCTAACAATCAATAATTTATTGTAAATTAATCTGAATAGAAATAGGCGAAGAAATAGGTTAAAAAGATGAATTGTATGTCACGTTAATTTACGACAAATTATTGATTGTTAGAGCAAAAGAGGAGTGTACGGAATATTTTACAAATTTGTTTAATCGATTGCAAGTGTTACTTTATGGATATATATTTTTATTTTAACGTATTTCGCAGGAATTTTTAGCGTGCATTTTCTCGCTTCTGACGTCATTAAAAAGAGATAGACAATGCAAGGGGCCAGGAGCCTTAATATTGTCCATTTTATTCGTAAAGATTACTGATCCTTCGAAATTTCATCTTCTTTTTAAACATGACAAACCTTTTGCACCGATCTAATGCTTAGAATCGAATAAAAAGTAGTAAACTATCACTAACATATAATACACTATAAATATAGCACTATAAATATAGCACGTGAATATAGCATGGCATTCAACGTGTTCTCCATTTTCCGACAATCCGTTTTCGTGACGACGCGAAGTTGTTTATAAACAAGATTCGAGGGATCCTATAACGACCGTCTTCTGTCAGCCCGAACGCCTGCTGGCGATCGTTAAAGCCCGACAATCTCGCCTAATCGACATTGTTATTCTCGCCGCTCAAAGGTCAGCAGGTATTCACGTAGAAAGGTCGAGCGAGGGAGACGTGAAAGTAAGTTTCGCGCAAGTTTGGCTATAATAATTAATATTTCATACTTAACGCAGGCGCGGAGCCGGCATGTCGGCAGCCTCTGTCCGTTTCGATCACGACGTAGCTCCGTTTAATTCGGCAGGGATCATTTATATCTCTCTTCCCTCTCAATAAATCATTCTGCTCGGAAGTCAACCTCGTCTGTTAGGATCTCCTCCACAGAGTGACTTCAGGAACCGGATAAAAAGATGGAGCTCGGTCTAAACGACGTAACATTTTTACCTCCGCGACTTCGTTCTATCTTCATTTAGCGAAGAACAGTCTGGTCACTCGGAGGAAACCAGCCCGCTGCTCAAAGCGCGCGATAAATCCGGAGCCCGGGCTCTTTAAGGATAAAGGCACCGTTACGTTTTATCTATTCATCCGTTACTATTCATCCGAACGAAATCATCGACTAGCGTCGCGACTCTCTCTCTCTCTCTCTCTCTCTCTCTCTCTCTTCCTCCTTTGCGCGAATAACGCGCATAAATCTGCATGCTTACGTGGAAGAGAGGAAGAGAGAGAAATAAAGGAAAGCGCGCATAGACGTAATTTTATTAGCCTACGGCTGCACAAACCGCCCCCGCGGTAGCCAGTCGAGTAAAGTCGAGCGAGTAAAACGCTCCTCGCAAAGCGCCGTTCGCGGAGAGGAACACGCGAGCTTATCGGCCCCGCGGGATGGAACTCTCTCTCCCGACCCGAAATCACCTTTATCTTTCTGTTACAGGCGACGGCGGACAATATTTCCGGGTTAGGCCGAACAACAGCTCCGTCCTGGAGGGCGGCGAGGTGGTAATTCCTTGCGAGGTGGGGAACAGAGTCGGCGCCGTCCAATGGGTCAAAGATGGATTTGCCTACGTCATACAGACGAGTAAGTACAGAATTACGCCGTTGATTATCCCTTCCTTGTTTTTCCCTGTCCCTTTCGTCGGGCGTCTCGCGTACTCGCGAAACTACCGCGTGAATTTGCGACGGGAATCTTATCTCGCTGTAGATATTGAGGCGATGGTAATTCGTGAGTTATGAGCCACTTTGAATAAATGATAAGCCAAATTTCATAAGTTACGAGCTGAATCTCATCGCTACCGCTAGATAACCGTATGCCCTTTCTCTTCCTTTCTTCTTCCCGATGCTCCGACATTTTTCCGAGGGATTTGAAACGTTTAGTCGTATTTTCGAATTATTATTAATACGCGCAACGCGTAAGTACATGTGAATTATATATTGCATATATTGCAACATATTGCACGACGCCACGTGTGCAGTTCCACGGATGCTTTGCCATCGATGGATCGATAGTTACTAAAAATTTCCGGCCGAATCCGTCTATCTAGTTATGCATTTCACATGACTGTCAATTAATTCGGAAAGAACTTGTCCTCTGGACTAATGAACAGTCATAAGGAACGCGCAGCTAGAAACGAATACGCCAGCTTGAAAATGGCCGATCTATCGAATGTCGAAAATCGATCTATCGAGTAGTGAGATATCTGCGGAATTGACCGGCAGATGGCGCGCCATAGCGTTCACCTACGTGTGCGATTGCGCGCGCGTCTTCAGTCTTCTTGTACCGAGCAGCCGCCGTTGATACATGGATCGACGTCGCTCCGCGTTTTACGCGTCCATTATTTTTCGAAAGTGAGTCTCGCGCTGAAATCAATATCGGGAGTGTCGAAAACAGCGACGTGCGATCGTCGGGTACGTATCATGAGTGCGTTATTAGACGGTAATCTTCCCGTGTCTTGGCGTATAAACCCGTGCTTGCCACGACATGTCAAGTCGATATCTCACACACCTGTAAGTACTATCGACTCGCTCAAATAGCATTAGAATCGGACAATCGTCGAATTTATTAAGCGAAAGTTAAACATTCAGAAGGAAATATAGAGATAATAGACGTCAGAGATATACGCGGAATCTCGAGCGGTAACGTCAGTGTGTTAGTAAGAAAGAGAAAGTATTGGGTGCTTTCCATTTAATAACACAAGTCGACATAACCATCATTCTGTCTTTGTTCCATATTCAATGAGTAACTAAGATAGGATGATGCTTGTGTCGACTTGTATTATTAAATGGAAAGCACCCTGTATAACGCGACGTTGCAGGAGCGCGACATTGTTCACGCCGCGGCGCTGATAGCCGGCGTACGCTCTCAATTGCGCGACCATCTTGGATTTTGAACTTTCCGCGCCGAGCAGCCGCCGTTGACAGATCGATCGACATCGCTATACGTTTTACGCGTCTTTTGTCCACCGAAAGTGAGCGATGGGCGATTGTCGGGACGTATCGTGAGTACGTTATTAGTGACTAATCTTTTCGTTCTTCGGTATATTGTGTCAGTGTTTGTCGCGTCGTATCGAGTCGGCGTCTATCACACTTGTTCTCGTCAGAATCAGACGACTGTCGGATTTGTCAATCGGCAATAAGAGATTCGATGACAATCAGATCGGGAAAGAGAAAGATGATATGACGCCAGAGACATACGCGACGTCGAATCTCGGGCGATAGCGTCGGTTTGTTACCCATGGACGTAGTATACATGGACCCCGGCTAGAAAAGTGAAGCCAACATGTAGAAAGAGACCATAAACATAATATACATTTATTATTTTTACAGATTATTATTAGTTATACAGTTATTATTATTAGTTTACAGTTATTATTAGTACAGATTTTACAGTTAGAAAAGAGAAACTAATGTATAAAACTTCTCTGTTTTCTGTCTCTTTCTGCACAAAGATTTTGTGCAATAAGATTTAAGACTTTTACTTGCCAGTCTAGTCGGGATGTTGTTGCGCTTTATAATATTATGGAAACGAGAAATGGATGTATGCGCAACAAAAAAGTGACAAAATAGGAAGAAAACTATAGCCCCTCTATTCTCGCTCTCTTTCTAGATGTTGGCTTCACTCTATCAGACGACAGAACATAAGGCATTCGGAGTCCATGTATACTATGTCCATGGGTGTACACTCGTGGTTTGAAAGGTTTGTGCACCGGATGTTTTGTAGATTTCGGAACGCGTCCTAACTTCAGGAGAGAGACAACCACTGCTTGACATGCCAGCGCCGCCACTTATTACGAGAGCAGAAGGATGACATATACGGTATATGCCGGTATATGGCGCTGGCGTGTCAAGCAGTGGTTGTCTGTCTCCTGAAGTTAGGACGCGTTCCGAAATCTACAAAAAATCGATGCACAAACCTTTCAGACCACGAGTGTACCGCACAGAACGCGTCGAACCGCGACGCAGTTCACATCGTGGCTCTGATAGTCGGCGTACGTTATAGACATAGCAGATCGAGTATAAAACGTGACATCTAAAAATTAAGTAGAAAGAGACGGAATATAGATGCCGTATATCTTTTTCTCTCATCTTTCCTAGTTAGAGGGAGAAAGCTACACGGCATCTGCTTTCTAACCTTTTCTACTTGATCTTTACTGTCAAGTAGAGAAGGTATGCTCTATATTCTTACTATGTTTATGGCGTACGCCCTGTGCGACCATTTTGGATTTCAATCTTTTCACGCCGACCAGCCGCCGTTGACATATCGATCGACATGGCTGCGCGTTTTACGTCGCGTCTTTTGCCCGTCGAAAATGAATCTCGCGCGGAAATGAGTATCGGGAGTGTTGAAAACAGTGATGGGCGATCATCGGGATGTATCGTGAGTACATTATTAATAAGTAATCTCTTCGTTACATACAATCGGTGTGTTGAAATCGACATGTTGAATCGGCGTCTGTGGCCCGTATTAATAATTGTTACTTGAAAATTTCCCCCCGATAATATATTGAGATTTGAATTTAGAGTTTGATGTGAATTGTTCAGCTGAATTGCGATTAGTGACATATATTATATAGTTCAAGGAAGAAAGTCAAATCTAACTCTATGCATATCCGAGTATCTCACATGGAATAAGTTTCAAAAAATTTAATACGTTTCTATTAAGTTTCAAATTAACTATAATAGTCTTGAAATTATTAAGTTTAATATTAGCCTGTCACTTTCTTATTATCTTCTTCGAAGATTTCTTATTACTGTCTATTATTACCTTCTATTCATTCAGTTCATAATAGAATCGACAAATCGACCAGATTTATTGATCAAGTTAGAAATATGTGATGGTAATCAGAGGAACAGATAGATAATATGACGCAAATTACACTTTACTGTCTATTATTACCTTCTATTCATTCAGTTCATAGTTCAATAGAATCGACAAATCGACCAGATTTATTGATCAAGTTAGAAATATGTGATGGTAATCAGAGGAACAGATAGATAATATGACGCAAATTACACTTTACTGTCTATTATTACCTTCTATTCATTCAGTTCATAGTTCAATAGAATCGACAAATCGACCAGATTTATTGATCAAGTTAGAAATATGTGATGGTAACCAGAGGAACAGATAGATAATATGACGCAAATTACATTTTTCTTTTTACGAAAATATTATCCATATATATTAACAATAACAAGGGAACAAAAAAAGAGACACGTATCTGTTATTGTTGAAACCAATGCGTTAAATTGGGTGAAGATAGTGTAATTAGAAATTTGTGCAATTAACGCTACCTCGAAAATCGTCCGGTTCTAAATCCACTAATTAAAACCGCGCGTAACAAAAGCTGTTTGTACTTTCAATAGGAAGTTACGTTTTCGCGTTACCTCGAATTGGTTTACATACCAATTTTCGGTGAACACATTAACGCGCTAATCGAGAGCCGCGCGTGCTATTTTGTTGTTTCCTATCCGATCGACGGGTGGATTTACATTATTGCATTATATTACAATTACACGCAACATGCAACAGCCTTTATTAAATTTCGCATCTCGAGTTTGCAGGTATTTATATCGCGCGAGCTATACGATTTTTCGGTGCTGTAAATACCGTTTTTCCTGAGGCAACGGGGAAGTAAACAAGCGCAACAATCTCGACCCAAGAATAAGTACACGAAACCACGAGAAAATCTGAAAACAAGCCAATCAGTTTTCGTTAGAAACGTTCTCTCAGACAAAACTGGGCATATCTCGACAACTTTCGAATCGTAGACAAATAGAGCCGCGAACGTGAGGGATAACCGAACGGATCGCTAGTAATTTCCGGGGCATAAATTTCGAGGTTTAATATTTAGCGACGCGGCTGTGCGCGTGCACAAGAAACTTTAACACCGATAACGCCGGGGAACAGAAAGTTTCGAGATTCACTGGCCGGCCTCTCGTCTGGATACTTGGCGTAAAAGGACTTTTACGATCTCGCCTAAGGACGAGCGGTGTGGATTTATTATTTAAGCCGGGCTGTAAAAAAGAATGGGGCTCGCGCTATCGACAGCGGTAGAGGGGAAAGGGGAGGGAGCGGTTAATTAGCTCCGATCCCGCCGACTTCCGGCTATCGTAATCGCATCGTTCGCCGAGAGTGCTCGCATACCGACCGAATAAGCGCGCGCGTGTTCGCGTAATAAACGGAGCTAAAATTAAAGCCGAGATATTAGTTGTGCGTATCCGCTCATAAATTACAATGCTCTTAACCGCGAGCTGAGGAACCTCGACCGATCCGGTCGATCGAGTGGTGTAGCGCGCAACCATGCTCGCGCTAATGATCTCGATGTTTGACGCTAATTACAGACGGCGAAATCGTAGGCCATCCAAGGCTGAAGCTGATCGGCGATCCGAACTCCGGAGTTTACAATCTGAGGATCACCGACGCGTCCTTGACCGACGACGGCGAGTACGAGTGCCAGGTCGCACGTTACCTGCGAATCAAGCCGATCCGTGCCAGCGCTCACCTGATCGTCACCTGTGAGTCAAAGCTATTTTTATCCATTTTATATCGTCAGCGCGTGTCAAACGACACCGCTCGAATCGAATTCGAACATTCCGCTGCAAACTGCGAGACAATAGATTTCGCTTGCCGGAGACCTACATAGAAAATTTCTTGGGATCCAATTGGGATTCAGCCCGATTTCCCAAAGCAATTATGAGTTCTGGGCCAAAGTATAATGTTTCAAACATGCGATTCCAATTGGGGAAACGCAAAGTTTTTCCAATATTTTTTCCTGATCTCCGTTTTATAGTAGAATTGAATAAAACATATCGACTTCCCAGATTATTTTAAAGTGCTCAGACTGTCTTAAAAAATAGTTTATTTCTTGACGTTTTTTATTTTTATTTTCATATTTTTAAAATATATCATAATGGGATAACCGATTCTGATGCAAATTTGGGCATTTTAATTAGATGTCAGTATGCTGATTAGTACTGCAATTAAGAAAATATAGAGAAATTTCTATGCAGGAATGATTTCTATACGGATCATAATTTCGAGAAGCAACCTTATTCCATTTGTTTTGCGAATAAATTATATGGAGAAACTGCTCCAGCCGACTTTGGTCGTTTGAAATGAAATAATATATGAAACAAAATAGAAATTTCGTTCATACGAAAATCAAGAGCTGCGCTTTTGAAAGAATTATTATCTCATGTGAGGTCAGAATACACATACCTTGTCTGGCAGCGAGAAAGGTTAGACTCCCCTTACAAGTTTTAATGCATAAACGTAGAGCACGAAATGATTTGGCGCCGTTATACGTAACAATTAAATCTAGTTTTCCACTGGAGTAGAGAAATTCTGAGTTGATATTTAATGAAGTATCCACACGTAGAATTATTCACACGTGGAGCGCATTAATGAGACCATACAAGTTCAAAAAATCGTCAAACACGAGCGTGGCACGTAATATTCGGGCGTTTCGCGTTAATTAAAATTTTCTAAGCGTGACAATGATGTTCTCGCCGCAAGAGACGAAGTCGTGAGAGAATAGAAGGGAGCGTGGACCAAGTTCCATCGGCAAGACACCAAAATACACTCCTGCTGGGAGACAATCGCGGTCGAGAGTCGTCGTCGTTGTCCTCACCCACGATAGCAGCTCGGTGCTACGAGCGGCCCGTAGTTAAAATGCAAAGCGTTCCGTAACTCGAATTACAAACTCGCGATCTCGAAACCGCGGTTGAAGTTAATTTACGGCCGGGCGTTACGTTGTCGCGCGTCCGCGAAAGCGCGACTTTCAAGCTTTCGCGAGAGAGAGAGAGAGAGAGAGAGAGAGAGAGAGAGAGAGAAAGAGAGAGAGAGAGAGAGAGAGAGAGAGAGAGAGAGAGAGAGAGAGAGAGAGAGAGAGAGAGAGAGAGAGAGAGAGAGAGAGAGAGAGAGAGAGAGAGAGAGAGAGAGAGAGAGAGAGAGAGAGAGAGAGAGAGAGAGAGAGAGAGAGAGAGAGAGAGAGAGAGAGAGAGAGAGAGAGAGAGAGAGAGAGAGAGAGAGAGAGAGAGAGAGAGAGAGAGAGAGAAGGGAGGAAGAGAGAGAGAATGGTTTACACGCCCGGCACGATATTCGGCTCGACCCTCGACCCTCGACCCAGCCCAGTCGGAGGGCGGCGGGGGCGAGCGACGAGCACGGCTACGGCTACGTTTCCGCGCCATCGACAGCAACGTCTCGTCCGTGAATTATGCAGAAGTTATTAAGCGCAACAATATGCATTCGCTTGCCGGCGTTCTCGCGAAACTAGTTTGCCGAGCGGAACGAAGCTAGTTTTCGCCACGCACGGCGTCCTTTCCGCGGCGCAGAGTACACGCCGAAGTCCGGCGAGACGTGCGCTTTTGTGGTGCGACGACGGTTAATACGGGAGTTCGAGGTCGCGACCTCTCGGCGCCGCCATTCGCCCAGCGCCGCCGTTATTCTTTCCGTCGCGGGTAGAGAACTCTCAGGTAGCGCGCGGCGCGTCGCGGCCGGATTGGCCGATCGAAATGCAATTTCTCCAAGTCGCGGGAGCTTTCTTCGCGAAACGAACAATTCGGTCCGTCTACCTCGCGGAATGTTTCCAGGAATTTTTCACGGAATCCCGCCGGTCGCGCGCGCGCGATGCGAAAACTAGAACCGGTACCAGGACTGCGCGGTTTGCGAACGCGATTAATCGGCTGCCGCCGTCGCGACGTTATACGTATATACTTCGCCCGTTATAGAATCTGTATATTACATTCGTCACTATCACGTCGACAATAAATTACCTCGCTGAGTAATGCGCGAACCTTGTCGACGTCGTTCAGAATCGCTGCGCACAAACGAAGCGGACGGATCGGCGACGGCTGCACGTATAAATTATGGATTATGGAATAATCATAACGAGAAAATCGCCGAGTCGATACGACTTATCTGCTTAATGCCTCGGCTCGCTGCGGTTCGAGCGAGCGGGCGAGCTAACCGCCCGGTGTTCTGAAACGCGTCCTACTTCTCGACAGATAACGTGTATTAAGGGAAAATGCATTTTATTAATCCCACTAATCGTGTCGCGGTCCTGCCCGACGCGAAGGCGCGCCTCGCGCACTCCCGCGATCCTATACTCGCGATATTTTGTTCGCGCAACGGGAATCACCTCGGGCGATATTTCGCACAGGACAGATAACAACACTAATGGCTACCATTAACGAGCGTGATATTATGAAGAATACACTTCAACGCGCTGACGACAAATGACCGCCGCGCAAAGTGCACACGTGTGCGCGCGCGTGTGTGTGCGCGTGTATGTACGCGTACACACGCGTGTATGAAAGCACGTTAAAACGACATTAACCATAATGCAGGAGCATTTTCGTGCGGACTGAGTGCGTCTGCGCTCACTCTCGAGAGCTCCGCGCACAAGTCGGATACGCATGACTCGGATTTCCACTCGCACGCGTGCGCGCGCGCGTGCTTTTAATAAAATCGGCATCGCGCACACTACGTAAGTCATCACATCCGTCAAATCAATCTTCCTCCGCGTTGCACGCGTTCATTATGCGCGCATTACGTTGACGCTGAAAGCGCGGCCGCGGGACATGCGATAATCCGCCGCGGGTCAAATGGATCATCGATGAGCGCGCGCAAATCCCGGGTGATTGTTAACGAGTGACACCGGGCCGCTAAATCTCGCCACCGAATGCGCTTACTTTGCAAACGCGAGCGCGCCCGGTTGTGCTTTTCGCGCGTTCCGCGCGAATGCGACGCACAGAGTAAAATAGAGTAGAGAGAGAGGAAGAGGGGGAGGAGAGAGAGAGAGAAACAACACGCGCAAGCGAGGCCGATTTGCGCCGCTAATTACGCACGTAACGGCATTTTCCCCGATTCCGCATCGCTAACGCGGATACAATGGCGTTTCGCGTTCTGCTGTATCGCGAAATACTCGCGCGCGTCATCGCGTTTCCCCACTGTCTTGATAACGCGAATTGCTACCCGCCCCGTTTGTCACTGTCGCCACTGTCGTCTCCTTCGCTATGACCGCCAAACGGCGAGATTATTCCGTCAGATTCCGGGATATGGACTGTAGTAAGGTCGCGCGTGGTCGGACAGGTGTGCGCTCAATTTTCGCCGACGTTCGCAGCGTTTTCGTGCGTTGAAAATCGAGACCCGCGGCTCGATATACGCTCCATCCGGAATGAAATGATGGCCGACAACGCGTCGATCATGATGCTACATCCGTTCGATTTCACGACACTCCATCCGGGATTTCAGGCGAGTCAACATCAATCAGCGATCTGCCGGCGGGATCGAGTGATGTTGGGACATTACGTGAAAATCGCGAAAATTAAGATGATATACAACCGAAATAATATAATCTCACACTTGGCAGAATCCTCTGCTAAGATGTCAGAGGATTCTGCCAAGGATTTCGGGATAAAAAAATATTCCAAGCACAATATTCTTAAAGTTGAAGACATTTCACCTTTTATTTACAGCAAAAGTCTTGTTCTTGATAAAAATTTTTTCTAGTAAGAGACCATTCTTCGAGTAAATATATTCCTTTCTTACAAGAAGAAAAAAGTTAGAATAATATCTGGTAGATTTCCGATTGAGAAAAATCTTTATATCAACTTCTTTTGATTCTATATTTGACCTACTAACTTTGCGTTCTCTTTCGAATTTGCTGGTAGAAAGTGCTACAAGCATTTCCTGCCACTTGCTACATATGCATTTTCTATCATTTAGAGACGTTAAGTAGGATTTCAGTTTCTGTGTGTATCAAACATACACTGTGATCCTTCAGAATATACAGACGTTGGAAGAAAATTCAGGTCGAAAGCAGGACTAAAATTTCGATATTTTATTCCATTAGAAGAAAATTTTTTCGGTAAAGATTTAAAATATGGAGTTGCAGGAATTGGCATCGTGCAACTAGAGTTGTTTTTTTTTCTTGGATATTATCATATTTTTTATTATCATATTTATCATTATTTTTTATTATCATATTTTTTATTATCATATTTATCATTATTTTTATCATTTTTATCATTATTTATTATTATTTTTTTCTTAAATATTATCATATTTTCCCTTTGAAAAGAATCTTCTTGACGATTTGACACATATAAGAAGGAATTAATCCCATTAAAGAGGAAATTATACTTTCCTTTGGAAAGTATAATAGTAAAATTGTCTATCGAGTCCCTCCTGCGCGGTTCCACGGTTCTTGAGAAAATTGGCGACACGACAGTCGACCACGGTTCTTGGGAAAATTGGCGACACGACAGTCGACTTAGCAAGAACACTCGGCGTGCACGAATGTCACACGACACGTCGATCCGAAATTATGCTCCGTTAAAACGATTGTCACACGACGCTGCTACATGTTTTTCTACTTTGCCACGGGAACGCGTCACGGCCGACGAGAAAATATATAATGCTGTTCGTGCACATGTGTCATAACCATTTGAAGCTCGCGCTTCTCCGACAGTAGTGCACGCTAAAGTGCTCCCATGCACATGATTATCCCGCG